TAGCTGTCCAATTTTCCCAACAACATTTATTAAAGAGGCTGTCTTGAGTCCTGTGTATGCTCTTGCCACCTTTGTCAAATATTAATTGAGCATATTGCCTTGGGTCCATTTCTAGGTTCTCTGTTCTGTTCCACTGGTCTATATGCCAATTCTTGTGCCAGTACCAGGCTGTTTTGATTACCGTGGCTTTGTAGTATAACCTGATATCTGGTATTGTGATCCCACCTGCTTTGTCCTTCTTTTTCAAGATTGCTGTTGCTATTTGGCGTCTTTTTTTGTTCCATATGATCTTTTGAAGTATTTATTCTAGATCGGTGAAATATGTAATTGGTATTTCGATGAGAATTGCATTGAATCTATAGATTGCTTTGGGTAGTATGAACATTTTAATGATGTTAATTCTTCCAATCCATGAACAAGGTATGTGCTTTCACTTTTTTATATCTTCCTCTATTTCTTTTTCAATGCCCTGTAGTTTTCTGTGAATAGGTCCTTTACTTCTTTGGTTAAGTTTATTCCTAGGTATTTTTATTTTTTTGCTGCGATGATAAATGGGATTGTTTTTCAGTTTCTCTTTCTGTGAGTTCATCATTGGTGTATAAAAATGCCATCAATTTCTTGATGTTAATTTTGTATCCTGCTACTTTGCCAAATTCATGTATTAAGTCTAGTAGATTTTTGATGGAGTCTTTAGGGTTTTCTATGTATAATATCATGTCATCTGTAAATAATGACAGTTTCACTTTCTCTTTTCCAATTTGGATTCCTTTTATTTTTTCTTCCTGTTTGATTGCTGTGGCTAAGACTTCCAGTACTATGTTACATTAGAGTGGTGAAAGTGGGCATCCCTGTCTTGTTCCTGTTCTTAAGGGAAATGCTTTTAGTTTCTGCCCATTGAATATGATATTGGCTGTAGGTCTTTCATGTATGGCCTTTATTATGTTGAGGTATTATCCCTCTATTCCCACATTGCTGAGTGTTTTTATTAGAAATGGATGCTGTATTTTGTCGAATGCTTTTTCAGCATCTATTGATATGATCATGTGGTTTTTATTCTTCATTTTGCTTATGTGGTGTATCACATTTATTGATTTGTGAATATTGTACCAGCCATGCATCCCTGGGATGAATCCCACTTGTTCATGGTGAATAATTTTTTTGATGTATTGCTGGATCCAATTTGCTAGTATTTTGTTCAGGATTTTGGCATCTATGTTCATCAGAGATATTGGCCTGTAGTTTTCTTTCTTTGTAGTGACTTTCTCTGGTTTTTGAATTAGAATCATGCTGGCCTCATAAAAAGAGTTTGGAAGTCTTTCTTCTTCTTGAATTTTTTGAAGTAGTTTGAGGAGAATGGGTGTTAGTTCTTTTTTGAATGTTTGGTCAAACTCCCCCATGAAGCCATCCGGGCCTGGGCTTTTGTTTGCTGGGAGAGTCTGGATTACATCTTCAATTTCCTTAGTTGTTATTGGTTCGTTCAAGTTTTCTATCTCTTCCTGGTTCACTATTGGGACACTGTGTTTCTAGAAATTTGTCCATTTAGCTTAGATTGTCGAATTCGTTGCCATATAATTTTTCATAGTAGCTATTAATGATGGTTTGTATTTCTGTGGTGTTAGTTGTTACTTCTCCTCTTTCATTTCTGACTTTGTGTATTTGGGTTCTCTTTCTTTGTTTCTTGGTGAGTCTAGCGAAGTGTTCATTAATCTTGTTTATCTTTTCGAAAAACCAGCTCTTTGTTTCATTGGTCCTTTGAATTTTTTTTTTTTTTTTTTTTTGGTCTCTATGTCATATATTTCTGCTCTGATATTCTATTTCCTTCCTTCTACTCACTCTGGGGTTTTCTTGTTGTTTGCTTTCTAATTCTTTAAATTGTGAGGTTAGAGAGTATATTAGAAATTTTACTTGTTTCTTGAGGTAGGCCTGTAGTGCTATGAACTTCCCTCTCAGAACTGCTTTCACTGCATCCCATAGATTTTGTGTTGTTGTGTGCTCATTTTCATTGGTCTCCAGGACATTTTTAATTTCTTCATTGATCTCCATGGTAACCCATTCATTGATTAATAACATACTATTTAGCCTCCATGTGTTCCAATGTCTTTGCATGTTTTCGTTGCAATTGCTTTCTAGTTTCATGCCATTGTGATCTGAGAAGATGCTTGATATTATTTCCATTTTCTTAAACTTGTAGAGATTTAATTTGTGTCCTATCATGTGGTCTATCTTTGAGAATGTCCCATGTGCACTAGAGAAGAATGTGAATTCTGTAGTTTGGGGTGTAATTCTCTGTAGATAGCTATTAAATCCATTTGGTCTAGTGATTTGTTTAGAGTCTCTGTTTCCTTGCTAATTTTTTTGTCTAGAGGATCTAACCAGTGGTGTCAATGGGGTGTTAAAGTCCCCTGCTATGATTGTATTGCTGTCGATTTTTCCTTTGAATTCCTCCAGAAGATTTTTAATATATTTTGGTGCTCCTATATTGGGTGCATATATATTTATCAAGGTTATATATTCCTGTTGGATAGATCCTTTCAATATTATGTAGTGGCCTTCTTTGTCTGTAGTCATGGCCTTTATTTTGAAATCTGTTTCATCAGATATGAGTATAGCTACCACAGCTTTTTTTTCCTTCTGTTTGCTTAGAAGATTTTTTTCCATCCCTTCACTTTCAACCTATGTGAGTCTTGTGATGTGAGGTGGGTCTCTTGTAAACAACATATAGATGAGTCATGCTTTCTTATCCAATCAGCTCCTCTGTGTCTTTTTATTGGAGCATTCAGACCATTTACATTATTGTGATAATTAGTATGTACTTATTTATTGCCATTTTTGGTTAGTTTGGTTATATTTTTCTTCCTATTTCTTCTACTAATTGCAGTAGTCCTTTTAACATTTCTTGCAGTGCTAGTTTGGTGCTAATATATTCCCTTAGCCTTTTTTTTTTTTTTGTCTGGGAAGCTCTTTATTTGACCTTCTGTTTTGAATGATAGCCTTGCTAGGTAGAGCAGTCTTGGATTCAGATCCTTGTTTTTCATGACCTTGATTACTTCATGCCATTCCCTTCTGGCCTGTAGTGTTTCTTGTGAGAAGTCAGCTGAGAGCCTTATGGGGTTTCATTTGTAGGTAACCTATTGCTTATCTCTTGCTGCTTTTAGGATTCTCTCTTTGTCTTTAATTTTTGGCATTTTGATTACTATATGTCTTGGTGTGGGCCTGTTTGGGTTCTTCTTACTTGGGGCTCTCTGTACTTCTTGAACTTGAATGCCTTTTTCCTTCACCAAATTAGGTAAGTTTTCAGTCACTATTTTTTCGAATATATTCTCTAACCGTTGCTCATTTTCTTCTTCTTCGGGGACTCCTATGATGTGAATATTATTACGTTTCCAGTTGTCCCACATTTCTCTCAATCTGTCTTCCTGTTTTTTAATTGCTTTTTTCTTTTAGTTTTCTGATTGCTTGAGTTTTTCTACCCTGTCTTCTATTTCACTGATCCGGTCCTCTTCTTCCTCTACTCTGCTGTTTAGACTTTCCAATGTGTTCTTTATTTCTAATATGTCATTCTTAATTTCCTCTTGGTGTTTTTTAATTTTCAATTGGTTGATTTTCAGCATCTCTATGTCCTTACTCATGCTGTTGAGCTTCCTCAAGATCACGGCTCTGAATTCTAGCTCTGTTAATTTGCCTAACTGCTCCATGTTTATCTCATTTTCGGTAGAGGTCTCTTGTTCTTTCATTTGGCTTTTGTTTGTGTTTTTCACCATTTTGGCTATAACAGTGGGCTTTGGAGTCTGCCAAATTTTCTCTGTGGGTGTTGGTGTTCTGCTGTTTGTGGTTCCTTCTTCTGGGTTTGGATGAGTGAGGGAGGACACATGTTAAACACCACTGTCAAGTCTTACTTTCCTGGTTAGAGTTGCCAGCTCAGGAATGGTAGTTATCCTCTAGCTTTTTGCCTGGAAGCTATCAACAGTGGTTACTTGAAGAGTTTTAGGTTGTCAGTTGATTGAAAAACCCCCTCAGGTGCTCAGCATAAGGGGATTTCCCGAGGGTGGGGCAGATACTGGTGGTTAATGAGCCTCAATTTGCATTTCAATGGCCCACTGGGTGGGGTTGAATCTCTGAGGGAGGGGCTGCTGCCTCTCTCCAGAGCCCTGGGAAGGAGCAAGATGGCCACCGTCCTGCACGCCTGGAACTCAGCAAAAGCTCTGAGTCCCCTCCAAATCTCAAGTGTCCCCACACAGTTCCAGTCCAGTCCACCCTCCCTCTGTCGGAGCCCAAGGTGAGTGCCTGTGGCTATTTTAGCCTCTGTCCTGGCTCTGCACTGTAGTGCCGCTTGTGAGTTTAAACTGAGGGCACTCTCACAGCTAAGGCCGCTGCTGTCTGTGGGCTCCCAGCCCCCCTCTCGTGCCTTCGAAAGCCTACCAGGATCGAGTCAGTGTTCCTGGTTATATGATCCTTGCAAGGTGCTTTTCTGTTTATTTTTCCCGTCAATTTGTCTGTGTTTTAGTTGTAATTCTAGTTTGGTCCTAGGAGACGATCTCTGTTGCTTCCATTCACTCTGGTGCCATTTTGGAATCTCCCCCAATCTATAAATTCTGAACCCAGACAAAGATTCATCTCAAAAGCAGAGAGTTAGACTTTTATCTACTCTCTGTGTTCATAACTCTTTGTGTCTTATTTCTTACTAAACACTCAAATAAAAACTTGGTTTGCATGGTAATAGAAACAAAAAATTCCTATTTTTTAAGAAAGGGTATATGTATTCTCACGCTATTATACTAATAACATTAAGTACATCTTTTACTGCTATAGCTATTGTGAAATAAATATATTTTTAAATGAAAGAATTATTGGAAACAAATAAATTGTACTGGGTCAAGATGAGTCAGGTAGATTAAAAGTTATCAGTTTCAACAGGTGGCAGGAAGGGTCAACCTGAAACCCTCATGAAACTGTCATTTTATTGGATGTCAGAAAGAACGAGCGGAGAATAAAGTACGATAATGGATAAATTACAGGTAGGAAACGACATAAAATATAGTTGTCAGTAGGTAGATTCTGAGTTACACAGGGGATACAATGTTAACAAATTATAAAGATTACCTAGATGGAAATATATATGGTAGGTAATATTAGCAATATGTGAACTGACATCTGACAAATGTGGACTTAAGGAAAGAAGGGGGTGGGCAGAAAACATGAATGAATATGAGGGAGAATCCTAATGAAAGCCTGGTGCCCCAGCTGGAGTACATCTGTGTCTGTTGCACTGCCTAAAATTTTTTCCCCATCTACTCTTTATTTTTCTTCCTGGCAAATCTCCTTACTTCTGTTTCTCTTTCTGCCTTCTTTCACTTCCTTTTTTATCACTCTATCTTCATCTCTTCTCTTTTCCAGTGATACTCAATGATATCTTCAGATTATTGCTTAGCAGTCCTGATAGCTATACGGTCAGAGATCTCTGATTTTTTTTATACACATATGGAAATAATTTATTTCGTTTCTGTGAGCACATTAGATATGAGCTACTTTTTATTTTTTTAAACATTGCATTTATTGGTGTGATATTGGTTAACAAAATTATACAGGTTTCAGGTGTACAATTCTACAACACATCATCTGTACATTGTATTATATGTTCATCATCCCAAAACCAGTCTCTATCCATCACCATTTGTGCCCCCCGTACCTTCCTCCATCTCTCCCTACCCTCCCTTCCCCTAGCAATCACCACACTTTTATCCATGTTGAGTTTCTTTCTCTCTCTCTTTTTTTATGTTCAATTCCTCCACATCCCCTATCCAGCCCTTTTCCAACAGCTATAAGCTCTCTCTTTATCTATGAGTTTGTCTATATTTTGCTTGTTAGTTCATTTTGTTCACTAGGTTTCACATATGAGTGAAATCATATGATACTTGTCTTTCTCTGACTGCCTTATTTCACTTAGTATAATGCTCTGCAGGTCCAGAAAAAGGAACCCTGGTGTGCTGTTGGTGGGAATGCAGATTGGTGGTGCAGCCACTGTGAAAAACAGTAGGAAGTTTCCTCAAAAAATTTAGAATGGAACTGCCTTATGACCCAACGATTCCACTTCTGGGAATATATCTGAAGAAGCTCCAAATAGTAATTCAAAAGACTATATGCACACCTATGTTCACTGCACATTATTTACAATAGCCAAGATTTGGAAGCAGCCCAAGTGCCCATCAGTAGATGAGTGGATAAGAAATCAGTGCTACATTTACATAACAGAATACTGCTCAGCCATAAAAAAAAAAAAGGGAAGCCTTATCCTTTGCAACAGCAGGGAGGTCTCTTATTTTGAACAAGAGTGAAAATTGCATTCATAGCATAAGGTGTGAGTTTTTGGCAAATAGTAAAACATTATGAAACCTAGTACAATGACAAACACATAGTTCTTGTAAGTAACAAATAGTTATGACTAAACGTAAGCAGCATACAATTTGTAGACAAGTTATGTATGTTCTATATAAAGGAACTGTAGATATGGAGAACCAACAAGTGTACAATCAAAAAGTTAATCAATAATTTATATAGACTGGAAAGAAAAAGTTCAAAGTTCATGACCACTTATTCCCTATATAAACAAGTCAAACATCTCTGTTGGATAATTATCTCTCATAATTGCCCTTGTCAGGACTGCTTGTGTTTCTTGCCTCATTTTCACTATGCAGGATTACCTGATTACATGGACCCAAATTCTGTTCATCTCCTGCTGTTTTCTGACTGTCCATTGTGCACAACGTAAGAAAATTTTAAATGGCTTTATTTCTATAGGTTGGATATGTAAAGACTTAATTAGATTTTCATTAGGGAGGCAATCAAGGCCATGGGAGGCAGCCTAAAGGACTAGACAGTATCTCAAGCAAAATTTTTTTGTTAAAAATTTACAAACCCGAAAGTATCTGATTTCTTAAAGGTCTTTATTTTTAGAAGGGATAAGTTGTTTTTTCTTGAAGCTATCATATTTGTCCCTGATCTCTGAGATAAATATAAAAAAGTCTATGAACTACCAACTAAAATTTTTACTTGTGTTGATATTAGTGATTGTTTTAGACTATGTACATTTAAGAGCATTTTATTTTTTATACTATTTAAAGGTTGTACTTAATTTTTCAGAAAATGTTCTCTCTGCAATATGTTCAAATCACATCTGTCTATAATATATAGCCTAAAATGCTTGCCAAGCCAAGAAGTACAATTCTTTTTCAAAACACTGCCTATTGAAAACAGATGTGATTTAAATTTCTCTAAGCAGCACCATTAAACCCACTAATTCTGGTGAGGGATGTTTGCAATGTTGGGTAGTTAGATGGTCAGTGGACTATTTTGTTCAACTAAAGCTGTTTCCATATTCCAAGAATAGAGTGATCCAAATTGTACTGTATTGTGTTTCTACTTTAAAATGCTATTATGTTTTCTGATGTCACCCTTTATTTATTTTTTTATTCAAATATGTGTATGTGGCAAAACGGTGTGTCATGTTTTACATTAGGAAAAAATATGCTTTCTAAACACAGTTTTCTTCTGGCTTCTGTAGGCCTGATCTTGTCAGAGACCTATTACTTTCTTGCCAGCCACCTCTAACTCCAAACACATACTCAGAGGCCTGGGACTCAGACAATCTGAAATCTCACTCTGTAGACTCTCTTTGTGTTTAAGCAGGCAGAGAGTCAAAAGAGTTCTGCTTTACTTGTAATTACAGTTTCTGCGCCTATTAATAGGTCCTGTAACTCCTAATAAAATTTCCTACTCACTAATTTTCATACTCTAGAAAACCTTTGCTTAGCTCACAGTGCATACTTCAGCCATATCATTGGCAGCATGACTCTCCACGACGATAGCCTTACAAATATAAAAAACTTATTAAGGGTTGAGGCTGAGGTCCTACTACCCCAAGTGGCCTTCTGTAGGGTGAATAATTTGTCTGTGTCGACCAGGACACTTTGAGATTAAAGAGAGAAGTATTAATAAATAATCCAGGGCAACAGGCATAAACCGGAACTATTATAGAAAACTAGGGTTATGTTGACCCTGTCTTTTGATAGATCATGTTTTTCTTCCCTTAGCCAAAGATATTTGCACGTTTTGTCCAAAAGAATTATATTTTAAATGTTAGATGTCCTTTGGCCTATAGTACTGTATATTGATTGTTTTTAAAGCCATGTTGTGAAACCTATCAGTTCACAATAATAAATGAAACCATGTTTCTTGTTCATCTTGATTTTTGGAGACTGGTACTTGAACACATGATATTTGAACATTCTCAAAGTACCACAAAGTCATTTTTATTTTCATAGTTTAAGATTCTTTAGCAGAAATAGTTTTCTAACATGCAGAACTTCTCACATGTGTATTAACCGTTTGAAGCATTTGTATTATATTGTTGAGGGATGTTTGAATGTTGTCATTTACAGCCAACTGTACATCTGTGACTGACTTTGATGATTGTCCAGGGAATATAAGAGATTTCTGTCCAGAGAATATTGTTTGTGCATGCAAAGATGGAGAGCCTTTTTGCAAGTAAGTGGTTATACATACTGTAAAAGCAGAGTAAGCACAATATATTGTGAGTAATAATTCACTTTGTTTGTATTTGTTTACTATAATCCACAGATGCAATGCTTGTTTTAAAACAATATTTTAATCAGAATGTTTTCTACACATATAACAGTTGTTGATTCCCTAAAATATTTTAATCTACTGTTTTAAAAACAATATATACAATTTAAAAGATTAACTGAGAGAATATGTTTTAACTTTAATAGATTAGCACCATTGAAAACTGCTTTAGTCAAATAGACTTTTTACAGATAACTTATGCATTCATAAATAAACTGTTTTACTGTTCTAAAAAATAAAAATAAAAACGTGTCTCATGTGATGCAATGACAAAAATCCAGAGTTGTTATGTATGAATTAAATTTTGTAATTTAAGAAATAATTTAAATCACTATGACCAACCTCTTTGCTTCCAGGTTTACTTTTTATAAATGAGCATTTTTTTGTCATAGATACATTTTTCTTTTAAAAGTTAGGCAGGTTTTTGTCTTTGTTCTAACCATAAACACTAGAGTAGTTTAGTCAAAAATTGGAAGAGGACCTAAGAAAAAATATAACATAAAAATAAGAAAGAGTGTGTATGCGAGAAAAAGGTTTTCCAAGGTCCATGCCTCTGGAATTGAATTTTGGAAACTGATAATAAGAAAATCAGGTGTAGGCAAAGGGACCAATATAGGCAAAGGCAATGAGGTTTGAAAGAATTTTGTGTTTGTAAAACTGCAAATGGTTTTCACGTCATGCTTTTGACATACTGATAGCATTTGCAGTTCCTCAAGTGCACTGTTTGCTCTCTCACTTTTGACTGTTCATATGCTATAACCTCTTTGTTACTCTTCCTTCACCTTTCCGCCTCTCACCACAGCTCTCCTTCCATTGATACATTCCTACTCAATCTTCAAGACAAAGCTCCATCATACTGCTAAGATGACACTTCAATCATTCTATAGCAATTTCTTTGAATGTAGAGTATATGTTTTCTTTTTGAGAGTACCACAGAAACCAGGATTTAGACTTATTCATCTCCAACACCTAGCACAACACCTGTCATATAGAAGGTGTTTTGCAATTATTTGTTGAGTGAATAAGTCACTCAATGAGAGTGATTGCTCAATAGTGCAAAATAGCCCTGACCGGTTTGGGTCGGCAGTTGGAGCATCGGCCTGTGCACAGAGTCCCGGCTTCGGTTCCCGCTGGAGAACGTACCAAAAAAAAAAAAAAAAAAAAGGTGGAAAATATTGGAAGAATATTCAAGAAGATGAAAAGTGGGGGAAAAAAGGCATTGGATTTAGCATTTAGGAGTTGTTGGTGCTAACTTTTGAGAATATTATTCCAAGATTGAGATGAGAATAGAAGCCAGATTGCAAAATTAATCCAAAGAGTAGAGAGTAAATGTAATGCAGCAATGACAAAATTATCATTTGACAATTTAAAGTTATTTGTAAACTCATAGTTTGAGAAATTTAAGAAGCATCTAATCAACATTTTGATGAAAAGCTAATTACATTTGTTTTATCTTTGTAATCCTTATTATAATTTTTTGCCTCATTTGTTTTACAAGTCTTTACAAGTGTTTATTGCCACATTACATTAACATTGCCTCTTTTGAAAATTTCATCCACCAAGTTGATTCAAACAAGTTCTTTCAACTTATTTTATTGATGGGGTTCAATGTGGGACATAATTATAATTGGCCTAGACATGCTATATATATGATATGTCACATTCTTTGAATGTCTACCTGGTGACAAGTGATCATTTTTATTAATATATTTAGCACTACATGGTTTGGATCAGTTATTCTGACATTGTGAATCAGAGTTAGGCACTAACAAATCAGAATTGAACATATGAAACTAAATGATATAATAATAATTTTAAAATTCTTTAAAAAATTTAATGGCATTGCTGAAACTCTCTAAGGACACGCATACCATCACCATCACCCACAGCACTACAGGCAGGTATTACCACCCCCCCATACGCACACAAATATTTCATTCATATGAAAAAATGAAGAAAGAAAAAAACAAATTTAAAATGTTTAAAGACAACCTAAATAAAATTGGCCAAACTAAGAGCAGATGCCTGATATCTTTTTAAAATAATTTCAGTTATGTTTATTTTTATATTTTTTTCTTAAAATATTTTCTTAATTATTATTTCTATAGTTTTTTATTGATATTTTTAGAGAGAGCGGAAGTGAGAGAGAGATAGAAAAATCGATGAGAGAGAGAGACCCATGCGCTGCCTCCTGCACGCCCCCTACCGGGGATCAATCCTAAAACCCAGGCATGTACTCTGGGAATCACACCAGGACTTCTAAATCCATGGGATGATGCTCAATCCACTAAACTGCACCAGCTGGGCAATTATTTCTATAGTTTTTAAAAACCATATTTTACATTGTTACAAACAGAATACAGATTCAAGATTTTAGATATTTTTTAAAAATTCAACTAACTCTGACCCTGGCCGGTTTGGCTCAGCCGTTAGAGCGTCGTCCCATGGACCAGAGTCCTGGGTTCGTTCCCGCTAAGGGCACGTACCTCGGTTGTGGTTTGTCCCCTGCCCCTCTTGGGGTTGTGTGGATGGCAACTAGTCAATGTGTCTCTCTCACATTGATGTTTCTCTCTCTCTCTTCTTTCCTCTATCTCTCCTGCTCTATCTGAAGATAAATGCAAAAATGTCCTCGGGTGAGGATAAATAAATAAGTAAATAAAAATTCAACTAACTCTGACCTGCTACCTCTTCACTGTCATCAAAATGAGAATCAATACTGCAATAGATCTAAACAAGATTCACATTTTTTTTTATTGAGGTATAATTAGTGTACAAAAATTACACACATTTAATGCATACAACTTGATGAGTTTGGGCATATGCATACACAAGTGACAATATTACCACATCCAAGACACTAAACATCCATCACGTCTGTTTGTGGTATATTTTTTCTTTCTTTCCTTCTTTCCTTCTTTTCTTCTTTCTTTCTTTCTTTCTTTCTTTCTTTCTTTCTTTCTTTCTTTCTTTCTTTCTTTCCTTCCTTCCTTCCTTCCTTCCTTCTTTCTTTCTTTCTTTCTTTCTTTCTTTCTTTCTTTCTTTCTTTCTTTCTTTCTTTCTTTCCTCCCTTATCTCTCTCTCTCTCTCTCTCTCCCCCCCTCCCTCCCTCCCTTTTTCTTTCTTTCTTCTTCCTCTTTTTTTTGGTAAAAACACTTAATATGAGATCTATTCTCTTAACATACTTTAAAGTGCACAATTTCATATTAACTATAGGTACTATGTTGTACAACTGATCTCTAGAACTTATTCATCATGCTTAACAGAAATTTTATACCATTGAAAAACAATTCCCCATTCCCCTCTCCTCCCAGCCTCTGACAACCTCCATTCTATTGTTTGCTTCTAGGAGTCTGACTATCTTTATTTGGAACAGTTGATGTATATTTCAACCAATGATCACATTTGTCATATACTTACTAGTTATTGACCCAGTGATCCCACTTCTAGAAATATATCCCAAGAAGCCTGAAACACTAATCAGAAAGAATATATGCTCTATGTTCAGAGCAGTGCTACTTACAATAGCTAAGATCTGGAAACAGCCCAAGTGCCCATTACTAGATGAGTGGATAAAAAAGCTGTGGTATATTTACACAATGGAGTATTATGCACCTGTGAAAAAGAAAGTTATCTTACCCTTTCGACAGCATGGATGGATGTGGAGAGTATTATGCTAAGCAAAATAAGCCAGAGAAAGACAAGTACCGCATGGCCTCACTTATTTGTGGAGTAGAATGAACAAAGTAACCTGATGAACACAATAGATCCAGAGACATGAAAGTAGGGAAGAGACTGACAAACCTCAGTGGGAAGGAGGGTGAGGGGGTGAGAAAAGATAAACCAAAGAACTTATATGCATATATGCGTAAGCAATGGATACAGGCAACAGTATGGTGAAGGTGGGGTGGGGGAAGCGGGGAAGACAGTGTCAATGAGGGAAAAAAGAAGGGATATCTGTAACACTTTTAACAATAAAGAGAAAAAAAAATTTAGATTACATTTAGAATGTATCCTTACTTCAAGGTTTTATTTCTTATTGATGATAGAAAGAAAAATATTTCCATACCTCCCAGGAATGCTAGAAGAATTAAGTAAGATAAAATATTTGAAATTCCAGCCCCGGCTGGTGTGGCTCAGTGGATTGAACATCAACCCATGGACTCAGAGGTCCTGGCTTGATTCCCAGTCAGGGCACATGCCTGGGTTACTGGGGCTTGATCCCAAGTAGGGGGAGTGCAGGAGACAGCCAATAGATGTTTCTCTCTCACATTGATATTTTTCTCTTTCTCTCTTTATAAAAATCAATAAAAATATATTTTAAAATATTGAAAATTCCTCGCATAATAACTGGCTCAGAGAGGTGTTCCCAAAAGTTAGTTCTTTTCTTCTCCCTAACCTCTATGATGTGAAGTCCAATAGTCACTTCTCAATCTTCATCTTCATTTACCTTTCAGCAGCATTTAACATAGTGAATCACTTTCTCCTCTTTGAATTTTCACTTGACTTCCAGTATACCCCTCTCTCTGTTTTTACTTTTTTCTTCTGCCTCACTATCCACTTTTAAATTACCTTTACTAGTCTCTTCTCTTGTCCCCCACTTACTTAATTTCAGACTTAATTTTCCAGTGTCCCAGGACTTAGTCCATAGTCCTCGTTAGCTATACTTCCTCCACTGGCGATCTCATCCAGTTTCATATCTTTAAATACCATACAAACTGGGAAAATTCGTAACTCCAACTTCAGAGATATAACTGCCTATTCAACATTTCCACTTGGATATCTAATACCTATTTCAAAATTAACAAGTACAAAACTGAACTCCACAACTCCCATCACCACCACCCCAAACATGTTCTGTCTATAGTCTTTCCCATCTTAGTTGAAGGCAACGCCATCCTTTCATTTCCTTAGACCAAAAATTTTGTCATCCATCAGTCCTCTTTTTCTTGCACACTATACTTCCTGTCTATGATGTTGGTTCTGCCTTTAAAAAGCAAAGTAGAAATCAATCTTTTTTGTTGTTGTTGTTTTCACCTCATCGCCACTGTTATCATTCTGATCTAAGCTATTCTGGTTATGTCTTGCCTATATCACTGAACAGCTTTGTGACCTTTCCCCCTGACTTTACCTTTGTCCCGTACAATCTGTTTTCAGTACAGTAGAAAACAGTGTGATCCTTTAGAAACAGCCTAGATCATGTCACTCTTCTTCTCAGAACTGTGTAATCATTTCTCATTGTGTTTATTGTAAAAGTAAAAGTCCTTACAATGACCTGTAAGGTATTCGGTGATCTGTCTCCTTCTTTCTTGGTCTTTTTTTTTTTTTTTTTTTATCCTCACCCGAGGACATTTTTCCATTTTTTGCACAGATAGAGTGGGAGGGAGAGAGAGGAAGGGAGAGAGAGAGAGAAACCTCGACGTGAACGGACACATCGAGTGGCTGCCACCCGCACGACCGACCAGGGCCGGGGACAAACTGCAACCGAAGTACGTGCCCTTAGCGGGAACCGAACCCGGGTCTCTCCGGACCGCAGGCCGACGCTCTAACCGCTGAGCCAAACTGGCCAGGGCTTCTTTCTTGGTCTTATCTTCTACCACATTTGCCTAACTCACTGTGTTCCAGCTGCACTGATTTCCTTGTGTCTCTCAAACATGCAGGCACACTCCCTCTTCTTTAGAGCCTTTTGTACTTAATATTCCCACTGGTTGGAATGCTCTCTTCTCACTAGATATCCTATGGCCAACTCCCTCCCTTCCTCGGACTTCCTTCAAATGTTACTTCTCAATGAGACCTGACATTGACAACCCTATTATATCACTGCAATCTGTCCCACTATCCTGCCCCCCACATTGTCAATCTCCCTTATCCTCCTTTTTCTATTTTTTCCTTAGCAGTTGTCACCTTTAAACATGCTAAATAATTTAGTAATTATGCCTACTTTTGTTGTCTGTTTTTCTCTGCTACATTTTAAAATGCTTGAGGACATGGTTCTTTGTTTTATTCACAGGTCTATCTCAAATGCCTGGAACAGTAATTGACACATAGTAGGCATCCAATAAATGTTGTTGAATACATTAATGAAATGTTATTGCTTATTAGATAATTCCTTTGTGATTCATTCTTAAGCTAAACAGGAAATATATTCTTGTGAAAGACTTTTTTCCAAGAACAAATCCATGAGGATTAACAAAATATTTAAAAAATATACTTGACCTCCTTAAATGAATGACATTGTGTTACATATTAGAAGCCATATCTTACTGAGTAGATTACTGCCTATTTGAAGCTGGTAGATTCATTTTCTTATAGAATCCTAGATTATCAGAGCTATAAAAGTTTATGATAATCATCTAATCAATCTCTTCATGTCATCCTTGACAGTACTCCTTAATATACTGGAATGATATAAACAAAGAGAAGCCTGCTTAGGATCTGACATTTACTGTTCAACTGAGTAATCTATTACCAAATCTATAGAAGACAGGGAAGTAATCTCTAGTCACACTACAAGAACTAACCTCACCATTACTCACTCCCATGGAGGATGATGAGAAGACATATTATTCCTGTCCACAAACCCACAGACATTTCTACATGGGTGTATGCCATGTCAGTTCAGTCTATGCACCAGAGAACCACATTCAGGTTATTTGGCAGCATGTCAAGGTTTTATAAAAACACTAGAAGTTCCTATATGAGTCATTTATTTCTATAAAATAGACGAGGAAATTCTGGAGTCATGGGAACGATGGGGGCAGATTTTGCTGGCAGACAGACTAGTCTCACCTTCTCATGTTTCTTCTTGTATTTGCTGTAGAGTGGTAGAGTCAGTCAGCTAACCAGCATTCATTACTGTAAGAGTGGGTGGGGGGAACGCCTAAACTGCAGTTACATAACCAGTGGACTAGGCTGTTCCAAACTTTTTTCATAACACTCACAGAACAAAAGTAGCTGAAGTAAAGCGAAGTATGAGCAGTGGGAAAAATGTGGATAGTTTTAAATGCAGTCTTGAGACAGCCATTCTGTGTGAGGCTTATTTCTTTCATTTCTAACTAAGTGCCACATGTTCATTAGCTAATGATTGGGAAATCCTGACAGCCTCTGCATGCTGACTCAATGTGTTCAAACCTGTAGGATTTAGAGTGTTTGCCCAAGTGGAAAATGGGACAATATACATTTCTTAAGGGCCTTAAAGGGAAACTTCATGGTTTAGTAACAATGAAAGGTTTGATTCATCAAAGAGGGTTCATTTTTTTTCTGATTTGTGAACTTCTTTCATTTGTATTATCTCTATCTAGATGCCCATATTTCAGAGGTCGGTGGGGAAATTACTGGTACATGGGGACCAAATGTGACCAAATCTGGAATACTCTGGACCTGATTTTAGTAGCAACATTGCCTGGAATAGGACTGGCTTTAATAGTTGGTGTAATGATCCAGACTGTCCACTACTGTAAAAAGAAGTCAAAGAAGAATATAAATGATCACCGGTAAGAAATGTCTAAATATCTTCTAAAATGATGGGAAATCTCTTGTGAGATCAGCAAATGAATCAAGAAATAGTGCATATCATTTATCATGCATACTTCTGGTATATTCTCTTTCATATTTATCAATATTTAATTGTATTTGAACAAAAGTCTGGATAACCAAATACATTTTGGTCAGAATATGGATACATCAAAAACTGGAAGATCCGTCCCTAGATGAAAGCCAAGTGTAATTCAGTGAAGAATTGTCCTGCTACAATGTCTTTCTTCTATTTGTGTGCACCACATGTACTGTCCTAAGTGGAGGGTGGGACTGCTGTCCCTCCTACTCATCTGAACCCCCAGCAACAATGTCAGATAAATCCAAAGAGGAATCCAACAGACTTGACTATAATATGACTCTATCTTGGGCACATCTCTTCACCTCACCAGGCTTCCATTTTCTCATCTATAAAATAGAGATGGTTATAATCTAACCTACCCACCTTACAGAGATGGTGAGAATGATACTGAAAGCAACAATCATTTACTGAGGGTTCATTATGTATGACATGCTGAATTATAAATATTTTATACCTTTCAATTCATTTAATCCTCACTAGCACCCTATAAAGTACAGATGATATCACCAAAACACAGATCAAATAACTTGGCTGAGGTTACACGGCTAAGTATGTACCCAGACAATCTGGCTCCAAGCCTAAACCCTTAACCCCTGTGCCATAGGAATTGAATCTCATAAGATAAAACAGTGCTTTGAAAACTGCAAAGTCCTGTCACATACCCTTTATTTCTTTACTTAAAAACAAACAATGCCCTTTATATTTTGTACCTCCTCTGAATCACAGAGATGCGAGGGGTAAATACCAGTGGGATACTATCTCATCAATTTTATACCAGTTAATTCAAATTAACATCTATTTTGAAGTATCATTGTTCAGTGACAAGTTAATGTTAAACTGTATGCAGCATGAGGAGAGTTTGAAATATTATGTTCAGATTGGAAGTATCTGTTAATGTGAGCCTCATACTTCTAAGAATAGGCTTTCAAATTGTAATAAAATCAACAATTTGAACAATCTTAGATATTTGTTTCTAAGAGGAGTGAGATCAACTATTCAATATCCCTGCCATTTCAAAACTCTAATCTTTGTACCATCATTCCATACTCTGAAATATCATGTGGTATTCAAGTATAGATGCATAAAGTCAATGTCAATCAGCATGGTGATGGAAGAAGACTTGACTTGGATTGGTAAACACAAAATACAATATACAGTTGATATATTATAGAATTGCCCTGGCCGGTTTGGCTCAGAGGTTAGCCTGTTGGCCCACAGACCAGAGAGTCCCGGGTTTGTTCCCACTAAGGGCATGTACCTCGGTTGCAGTTTGTCCCCAGCACCAGTTGGGGTCGTGTGGGTGGCAACCAGTTGATGTGTGTCTTTCACATTGATGTTTCTCTCTCTCTCTTCCCCCTCTCTCCCTCCCACTCTATCTGAAGATAAATGCAAAAAGTGTCCTCAGGTAAGGATAGGAAAAAAAAAGATATATTGTAGAATTGTACATCTGAAACCTATATAATATTTAACCAATGTCCCCCCAATAAATTCATTAAAGAATAAAGAAATTAATTTGGAGAATTTCATATTACCTCTTGACTTAGGTTAGAAACCTCCTGAGATTATAATTAGAATTCATACCTGTAAATAAGTCACTTTTTAAGCATTCTCCGTAGTTTTTTCTACTCCAAAGCTGTCTACAACACTGGATTTGTTTTCCAATTATCTATCTTCTACTAAATGGCTATGACTTTGAATGAATCTCTTACCCCTGATTCCTCCTTTATAAATGGTGAGTTGAGTAACACATATTCTACTGCTTCATAGTTGCAAGAATAAAATAAAATAATTAATGGCAAACTGCACTGAGAAGCAAAGGCGAAACAAAAGGCTTGATTATAAATCAGGATAATAGGGTTCACAAGCATCTGGGCTTATTTATATGCTTTTGGGATAAAATTTAAACTGCCTTATTTTACTCCAGTTGAAATATAATTTAATTTAAACTCACCTTTCCCCTTCTGTCAATTGTGAATTGACAAAATGATTCTATATATACTCTAGGAGATCCCTTAATATAGTGGAGCCAGACAGACTGGGGCTAAAATCTCTGCCCTATAAGTCAATGACTGTCATTTTGGGAAATATTCTTAAAAGTTTTCATCCTCGGGTGTTTTCATCTGCAAAACTGGAGTTAACAATACTTATCTTGCAGGTTATTTTTAAATATTCAAATAAGATAATATAATTTTTGTGAAATAAACTGATATTTGAAATTTACTTTCAACTGCATCAGCAAGTTGAGATTGACTAATAGAGGGATAAAGGGATGGATGGACACATAAATGTTAAAGCAAGTGTTATAAAACGTTAGTGATAAAAATGAAGTGGTAGATATGTGTGCATTCACTGTAAAATTTATTTTTTATCTAGGTTTGAAAAGTTTAATAATACATTGGGGATAAATCAGATAATTAAAACACATTGAGCATGAAAATAATTCAACAAATGGTAGCCTTTATTATCGCCTTGTTCGAAGTACATATAAATATAGAGTCTAACGATGGGAGCATTTATTCTATATGGTCAAAAATTAGTTTATAAAAAAGGTGATTTATAATTAATTAAACAAGTGTTCTATCCTAACTATGTGTTTTTATTTATTTAACTTGCCAGAGAAGAAAGGAGTTCATCAGAACTCCAACCTCAGCATAATTCTGCGTATGTCTTTGATACTGCCGTGAGACTTTCTCAACCTGATCAAGTCCAGGTAAACACCAAAACTCATTTATCAGGTAAACTAAGTTTACAAAAGACACACAAAAGAGAAATGCCTTGCAGAAACAACAAGAAGTTTGGGAGATTGAAAAAATATTCAGAGACAACAAAACAAAGTGTTATCAGAAGATCAAATTGCACAAATAAGGGATGGTTGATGACAGGTTATTTATCAGTAGAGTGCAGGCAAGGCCCGGGGGAAATTACAATGGGCGTACTCTACTTCTTTTCTCCATCATTTGATTCCAGGTAAAATCAAGTTATAACACATATCAATGGCAGTCTTGGGGAAATTAGAACATATAACAAAGCGGAAAGAAAGTAACTAAAAGAAGGCAGCAAGCCAGAAAAATATGGATAAGAAGACAAGAATTTGAGCCATGTGGCTTCCTTTTATACAAGCTGAAAATCTCTTTCTTATCTGTTATTAGTAGCACAGATCCTCTAAAATAGAAGTCTTGTGGGGATTTTTTCAATTCATTGTACTTCAGGAACAGCTGTAAATACAGGGAAAGGTCTGGAAGTCATACTTCACCACAAGTATCAGAAGCAGATATACAATGAGATTAAATTATTTGAGCCTCAGTATAATTCTACATATGTTTCTGATGTGGTGCATTCTCAATAACATTAATGCTAGTTAAAACTAAAACTCATGAAAAGGTTAAGATAAAAAGTTGATAAAGGGTTGAGAAATGAAAGCTACTGGTCAGATGTTTTCTACTCAATATCAGAACAATTAAATATTGTGACTTAAATTACACCATGAAAAAAGAATTTGTGTGAGTGTATTATATATAACATTTCTTAAAGAGATGGTTAAGATCCCCTGGGTGAGTATACCATGGTAAATAATATTGACGTCTACAAAAGGCTTACTCTAAAGTTGTCAAATGGCTTTAGTTGTCAAATTTTCTCTTGAAGTGACCAATTGTTTTGTAGATGATTCCTAAGATTTAGAGAACTGAGCAGGTACAGGGTGCCTTTACTTTTCTAAGAATTCACTTATTCTTAACCTCCCGAGTTACTTCTGCCACCCACCTATATTTCAAATCTAGTTCACCTTCTCAACTTCTCTCATCATCCCCCTTTAAAAAAAAACATTTATTAAATCTTTTCATTGAGATATAATTAACATAGAGCACTAAGTTTGAAGTATACAAAATGTTGATTTGATACATTTATGTATTGCAGTATGAATACCACCAGAGTGTTAACTAAGTCCTTTATCATGGCACATAATAATATTTTTTTTGTAGTGAGAACATTTACTATGTAAACTTTTACCAAGTTCGAAGTATATAATATACAGTATCATTATCTATAATCACTATGCTGTGCATTAAATCTCGAGAATATATTGAAGTGTAAATACATCAGAAAAGTATGTTATAAATGGATAGTTTGACTAATGTAAATATACCTGTGTACTCACCACCCATGTAAAGAAATAGAACATTAGACAACAGCAGAGCATCCAAGAATCCCCCCTCGTGTCCACTCCAATCACTACAAGCCCTCCCTAAGGTAATCACCATCCTAGGATCATAAATTAGTTTTACCTGTTTTTGAGCTCTAAGTTAGTCTTTTACTTAATGTTATACAACCTCTAATTGTGTATAAAATTCAGAAGGAAAGCCAAGTATATAATGCTTGCCATGTAGGGTATGTTCAATAATGATACTCTCTCTTTCCTCGGATGCAATCTTTCTATGGCTAAATGCCTGCTTTAGTTCTGTTACATCTATGTCAATACCTCCACTGTAACCATTTCCTAAACCTCCCTCAAATGAGACTACAAATGAACTACCATGCCTTGTCTCAAACTACCATATTCTTCTCTTCCCAATAGTGTCCCAAAGTCTGGAGAATTAGGAAGCAGAAATGGACTACAGATTTAACAATTTAATAGAGATTTGGGAAACATTCCAATTGAGTTAAACTGTTTAGAAAGGTGCCCAGATGTACTGTGCTCTAAATGTACATTTCAAATACTGACTTTGGCATGTGATGACTTCTCAGAAACTAGGGCCCAATTCAAGTTTCCTCAGAACTGAATAATACTTTTTCATGCAAATTTATCACCATGTTCTTTATTCAGCTAGCTCACACAGAGAGAACCAGGAATTAATAGGTAGAGCCTGAGTTCATTCTTGAATTGTCAACACTAATCTTTTCTAATTGACTTAGCAATTAGATTTCAGTGGGTAAGTATTTGCTACCTTTTCTTTACCCCATCCCAACCCTACTTTTACATTTAGCACAAAGTAGCTTGTGACTTACAAAGTCGTTACAATCCTAGCATGAGCATATAATTAGAAAGCCCAATGTACTTTGAATCTCTGGCAGAAAGGTACACTGCACTGTTTAGTCCTATGAGAATAATTCACCACTGCCTTTACAATTTTTGATTGTTTGTTTGATCATAAATATGTTTTTGAAGTTTATCTGCCTTTGGACCAAGCTTACATGGTGTGGTTCAGACATTTCCACAGGATATATCATGTTTGAATTACTTTCACCTGGTGAAAATATACAGCAACTATGTCCAGGGTAGGGGGGTGGGGGGCTACATTTATTACATAGAGACCCAGGAATGGGTACAGTCTGAAGAGCATAGAAATAAATACTGATATGACTTAAAGAACATATAGTAAACCATACAACAGAGGTAACAGACACTGAGAAATGCTCACTGAAAATGAAGACTACTTTGACTAACAAGATTTTCTCATTTTGGCAGTGATAATCACAAACTTACCAAATTGCTGGATTTATTGTGTTTTCAAATAGAATAAATTGAAAGTGGAAGATGATAAGATAACCTTTCAATTTTCCATTTACTAAATCCAAGAAATTATTCTTCCTAGACAATACATAAAAATAACATCCAATCACGACAAACCTAATAATATGATCATAATTTAAATAATATATCTTTGAAGTCATTTATGTCATGTTCAAATAGTTAAAAGTGATCAAACACTCTACTACAGATGGCACTGTGCAAACTGTGATCATCTCCAGACCACTGCTACGTTTTCCACGTGCATTATCATTCAATATGTACACCATTAACTCTACCTTATCAGTAGATTGCTGGTCACAGTTTTATTAATATTTGCCTAGTTGAAGCCATATGTTATGCCACTTATCCAATTTACAAAACTAATTTGTTCAAGACAACCAGTTATCTAAAGTGAACAGGAAATCACCAAGGTAGAAATAACATCTTTTACTGTGATTGTTTTGTTTTTCAAAAGTCCCACATTTTCCTTAGGACAAAAAATATTAACTTGGCTAGAAACAGTAAAGGAATCAAAGTAATTGAAATCTAAATATTTTTCTGCAACATTTTTATCTTTCATTTAAAAAAAAATCAATGGTAGAAATATTACTTTCCACTAAATGTTAGTTTAATTGGTTTGAAAGATGGTTGACGGTGATCTTATGCACCGGTGAAAAGTAAATAGAATATCTTATTATCTTTGGCTGAAGTCCACAGCACAAAACTATAATTACAAAATCATGAGTTATCCTTCTGTTTTCCCTTTCATTTCAAAATTTTTGTTTTGGTTTATATAAAGCCAGGTGTCGTACCTTGAGAAAATCAGGAATTTCCATATAAAAGTCTTAACCAAGTTTGTATTCTACTATAAAAAGCAAAACCCATGAATGTCAAACATTTGTGAATGAAAACGCAGTTAAAATAGTAGTTGTCTTTAATCAAGAAACAATAAAAAGGAAAGAATTTATCTCTTTTGTTAAAGGTCTAGGCAGAGGATCATTTGTGAATATGTTATTTTTCTTTCTATTGTCCACATTGCTTATTGCAAGGACTGAGCATATGATAGAAACTGAGTCCTTGAATACACGAAGGAAAACATGAATGAATGGCATAGAGGCAATAAATGGTGATGGAAAAAAATAAATTAAAATTAAAAAAAAGAAACAGCCAGGCTGGTGTGGCTCAGTGGTTGAGTGAGACCCAAGCACCAGGAGGTTTCCTGTTTGAATCCTGGTCTGGGCACATGCCCGGGTTGCGGGCTTGATCCCCTGTGGGGGATGTGCAGGATGTAGCCAATCAAATCCATAGGCAACATTAAAGCTTAACTATGAATATGTATTTATTTATATAATACAATCAACATATTATTTAAGTCCTGCACTTTCTTGATATCTTTATTCATATGTTTTCCTTTTCCTGCCTAATTTCGACCTATTTTTATTTTTTAAATTAAAAATTTAAATTAGTAACATTATATAACTATCAAGTGTATAATTCTATAATACATCATCTGTATATGGCACCGTGTGCTCAGCACTCAAAGTATAGTCTCCTCTGTCAGTGTATATTTAACTTCTTTTACCTTTTTTATTCTTTCTCCACCCCTCCTTTCCCTCTGGTAACCACCATTCTGTTGTCTGTGTCAATGATTATTTGTTTGTTTTTTCATTTTCTGCTTTCTGTTTTATATCCCACATATGAGTACAGTCGTATAGTTCTTATATTTTTTCATCTGACATATTTCACTTAGCATGGTACTCTTAAGATCCATCATGTTATCGCAAATGACAATATTTCATTATATTTTGTCACTGAGTAGTATTCTATTGTTTATATGTACCATTTTTTTATCCAATCATCTGTTGAAGGACATTTAGAGTATTTCCATTTCCTAGCTACTATAAATGATGCTACAGTGAACATAGGGGTACATACAGCTTTATGAATAAATGTTTTCAATTTATGTGGTTAAAGCCAGAATTTGAATTTCATGGAACAACATGAAAATGGCATAAGAACATGAGATGTTGAGCCAGAGGCCTGGAAATTACTACCCATTGGATGGTTACTTAACCATTCTGGGTCAGAGATTTTAATTAATTTATCTTATAAGGTTCTTGAACAGATTAATGAGATATTATATGCAAGCAGCTTAATTTAGCATAAATCAGGGTAAGCCTATTCTTTTCTCTTTTTTCCCCCAT